AAAGAAATTCACACAAAAAATCATTAATTAATCTGTTCTTCTGGGATTAAAATCAGCCTTTTGTTACAATCAAACATGTCGACATATATGTTCATATAAATGTACTGTCCCAGTCAAATTAATTAATACAAATACACAGTAGTAGAGTAGAAACAGACGCTCTGAGGAGGAGCAGAAGTACGATGCCTTTACCAACACACGTGAACACTATTCAATAACTTAACATGTCATATCAACAGTAAATGTAAATACATTGCCAGTCTTTAACAGGAGGCTGGTGGAGTGGGATTTACAAATATACTCAATTAAAACCATTATCAGTCTGATTCCTCTGTAGCATTAATATTGAATCCATGGGTTTGTTTTCTCCCTACAGAACCGATCCTTCATTCCATCTTGGTTTCACTAAGATGTCAAAATTTAAGAGTAAAGATAAAATAATTATCGGAGGTCTAGATACATAAAAATGAACAACATAATTAACAACAACCCCTTAGCATGCTCTGTCTCTAAAACAGTCAGCCGGTTTCGTCCTTGCTGCACTGCTAGAATAATATACACATTGAAATTGGGAACATAGTACATAAGTCACACGAGAACCGCAAACCCCCATGTACTTGGCTTTCCTGCGGTTCATTTTAGCTTAGCATTAGCAAAGATTAGCTTTGGGGAATCGCCCAAACATAGAAGCCACCTACGCGGAGCTAGCTAATGATAAGCTAAGGTAAAAACATGTGCAGAAAGTACATACAGCAGTGGTTTGCGTGTTACATACCAACTAATGATGAGAAAACACACTTACTGGTTTGCTGTGGACGCCATGTTCAGATGAACAAGACAAGTCATGTTCTGGCCTCGGCTACATCTGTGGAGGATTGGCTGATCGATTGCTTCTTTCTTGATTTACCCGGAAATAAAGCATGACATTTCAAGCAGCGAAAATTTTTGGACACTGAATTTTTTTCAACATTGAATGTGAAAACATTGACTTTATTTACACTGAATACTTTTTTGTTAGTTTATAGAATTAAAAAAAAGCAAAAAAAAAGTGTTGATAATAAAAACACAAAATAACCTTCGTACTAACCCATCTCATATTAGCCCCGTGTTATTATCCGACATGGTAGCCAAGCGCGCTTTGATGACGTCGCTGTTTACGTTTCTGTTGCTCACCTGCCAATCACCTTATTAAATACTCTGATTGGCCCGGCATGTTTCGTCCCGGGCATAATCGTTTTTCAATTGAGGAATGCCAGACCGACCTGCCCGCTGAAATTCCATGGAGGCGGGGCTAAAGGTTGGCTGGAGCCAGGCTACTTTATTCGTCCCACTGCAGCGAGGAAATTTCAGTGTTTAATCACAAGCTACAGAACAGTAGAAATGAGGAGCACTCAGCACAAGATAAGTGAACAATAACTATACTAATTAAAATAAAAACTTATCCAACTAATTCTTGTGACGTAAATTTAAATTGGATGGGATTTCCATCAAAGGATACAGGCGTAGGTAGATTATAGTTAGGACTAATTTCTAACAACGGTGAGTCCCCTTACAGAAGGGAAGTGGACAGGCTGGTGCTCTCGTGCAGTGGTGACAACCTGGAGCTGAACGCCTAGAAGACGGTGGAGATGATAGTGGACTTCAGGAAGACCACAGCCCTCCCGCCCCCGCCCTCTGATGGCATCCCCCATTACCTGTGTGAAGTCCTTTCAATTTCCTGGGAACAACCATCAGCCAAGACCCCAGGTGGGAGCTCACCATCAGCTCCCTCATCAAGAAGCCCCAGCAGAGGATGTACTTCCTGCGGCAGCTCAGGAAAGCTAAGCTGCCTGCACAAATGTTGGTGCAGTACTACTTTGCCATCAAGTCCATCCTCACCACCTCCATCACCCTTGTGGTTCGCTGGAGCCATTGTCATGGACAAGCAGAGGCTACAGCTCTTTGTTCGCTCTGCTGAGAGGGTGATCGACTGCAGCCTCCCATTGCTGCCGGACCTGTACGACACTTGATAGTGGGCTGGTCATATCACTGCTGACCACTTTCACCTTACACATGGACTTCCCACAGACAAAAGACTACAGCTCATACAGACCAGAACGTGCCAACATAAGAACGGTTTCTTCCCGTCTGCAATTGGACTCATGAACACTTCATAACACATCACTATTCTGCTTCACTTTTTGTATTTTTAACAAACGCTGTGCAGATTTTTATTGCATATGCTCTAGAAATAAACACCAAAAGCTCAGTGGAGGTTGTTTTCGGTTTAAAATCCATGACTACAGCTCCCATTATTGTCCACAAGGAACCTATCAAACAGGCGGAGTCCTTTTCAAATTGTTGGGTGTGGTAATGGACAGTTCTGTCTTGGAAACGTCACATTGATTCCATCTGTATAAAGTCCAAACAAATATATATTAAATATAAACATATTCTTCCTCGCCTGAGGTCTTTCGAAGCTTCTTGTCAGATGTTGTCCTACAATACTGTAATGCTGTGTGGTACAGCTGCCTCTGTCACATCTTAATCTGGACTGAGACACCTGCTCAGAATCGGCTCAAAGATGAATAGAAAGATGGGACAGACTCTGGATGGATTCAATGGCCCTCATTTATGAAACGTGCGTACAACCAAATCAGGGTGTAAATGAGGCGTACGCAGAAAATTTACACTTATTCATTTATCAATCAATGCATTTATCAATCTGGACGTGAGCTTACAGTTGGCAAAAAATGTACGCCAGGTCAGGAGGTGGTGTAAATGTGTACGCAAAATTTCAACCTTCATTACAACACACCAAAACATGCATGAAATGCAAGATTTCAACAACAATTACCATATTCACACTCTGGCAAAATTTATAAGCTGCGAGTATCATGTCTGTCTTTTTGGCCGACTTCCATGCTGACCTCTCGTAAAAACAGGGCGTGAGACAGGCATTTTCTGAATATTTATAGGCGTGACTTTCAGAAATCCGCTAGTTTTGAGCGTGGCAGTTATCAACAGCCGTAGCATGCGTATGCTCAGATTTGTGCGTATCTCACACGTTCATAAATGCCGCGTTGACTCGTGCGTATTTGGAATATATACCCAAAATATACACCCTTTTCTGCGCAACTTTCATAAATGAGGGCTATTGAAACCATGCATCCTCCGCTGGCAAAGAACATATCTGACCCCAGCCATGTTCTGAAGTCAAGAGTATTTTCTGTTACCATCAGTGTAACACTGTGGTGTCTCGCTTTAATAAGGTCAGACTGAACAATTCCTTTATCTATGAGTCCATCTAGAAACTAAATGAGCGAGGCATTGGAAGTGTGTATTTGTCAAATGTTCTGTATGTGTACTTGTTTACGTTTCATGTTGAATGGAGCTTCTCTACTGTACTAAAAAAAACTTCTGAATCTTGTCTGACAATAAAGTGCTTATCTATCTATACCTTATATCTATTTTTACCTCCTAACTTGTTTGCACCGAGAGCAAAAGCAATGTTCTAGTTTGCGACTTCTTGTTACTCAAAAAGGTAGGAAAAATAATTCTGATTCTGATATAGATCTATCGATTTTGATATTGAAGCATTTACAGTTAGCTTAGAAACAGCAGCTACTTATACTAAAGCAAAGGAAGGTTTCTCACCCATCATCTGTACTTAGCAAGTTTTCCCGACGTTTTGTCCTCAAACCAGCGGACTTCTTCAGGGAATGAATTCTCAGACCGCGCGTTGGAGATTTATAACCTATCTAACTACACCCATAAGTTATAAATCTCCAACGCGCTGTCTGAGAATTCATTCCCTGAAGAAGTCCGCTGGTTGAGGACGAAACGTCGGGAAAACTTGCTAAGAAGTACAGATGATGGGTGAGAAACCTTCTTTTGCTTTGACTAATCCCTGTACGACTGAGGGCTTACACAAAGCTACTTTGTGTATATGTATTTGTATTTGTGCTACTGTATATTTTGTGTGCTCCCTGTCTGCTCTTACTAATGTCCTGTATGTGCGCTGCAACATTGACATTTCCAGCCATCTTGTACGGTGTGGTCTGCTGGAGCAGCAGCATCACAGAGAGGGACAGGAAGCTGGACAAGGTCATTAGGAAGTCCAGCTCAGTCCTGGGCTGTTCCCTGGACACAGTGCAGCAGGTGGGGGACAGGAGGGTCTTGGACAAACTAATATCTATGCTGGACTGTCACCCCCTGCAGGACACTGTCCGCTCTGGAGAGCAGCTTCAGTGAGAGACTTATTCATCCTTGATGTGTGAAGGAGAGGTTCCGCAGGTCTTTCCTTCCTGCTGCTGTCAGACTGTACAACAAACAAAAAGGACTAATGAACACTGCCAACTTGATCCCACGTGTCTTGCATCATTGCAATATCCTTAACTTATATCAGAATGTGCAATAACCACATGTCACTGTCACTTTACTGAGTATGTGTTTGAGAGCCTCATGCTGCTACTGTACAGATGCTATACATACAGTATAACTACACTTTGCACTAGAATACACAGTACTTTATATTTTATTTATTTATTTACTGAAGGGACAGTGCATATTAAAATACATTATGCATGTAAATATGCCAGAATTAGCCAAAGGGCTATTTTTCATCTGTAGTCCCTGGACAGTTAAGTGTCCTCCTGAAGGAAATATACTTGCCTCTTATTTTGCCAAATGATTTTATACTTGTTACTTGATGCTAGAATTAGGGTTTTTGTTTTATTTTAATTAGTATAGCTATTGTTAACTTAACTTCTGCCGTGTGCTCCTCTTTCCTACTGTTCTATAACTTGTGATGCAACACTGAAATTTCCCCACTGTGGGACGAAAAAAGGATCACTTAATCTTATTTTTGCATGCATATGAAAACTAGAGATTGAACCAAACCCTTTGAGTGCAAGGAAAAAGTACATGGTTCACTTTTTTGTGGTTTCAAAGCTAAATACTCTTTTTAACGACTTGATTTGTGATATATCTCTGAATGACCAGTGGCCCTCCTCTTGCAGGCCGTGCTGAACGCTGTCATCCCTGACCACGATGCAGATGCCTTCAGACCCCCGCGCACAGCAGTGCCCTTATACCTGGACCCCGTGGTGGACTGGCTCTTCAGCGGCCTATCGCGCTGGGATGCTGAACACTTCCTCTTTATTGCTGAGAGGGGATACTTGTACGAACACAATTTTGCCTTCTTCCCGCTCCTCCCCATTGTCCTTCGAGGACTTGCTGAGACTCTGCTGTGGCCTCTGAGCTCCTGGCTGAGTGTCCGTGGGCGATTACTGGTGGCAGTGGCTTTTGGGAACACAGCTCTGTTCCTGCTCAGCGTCGTTTCCCTTTATGCACTCAGCAGGATAGTTTTACAGGACAGGCGCCTTGCATTTCTCTCCAGTCTTCTCTACTGTATCACGCCCGCCAATGTCTTCATGATCGCAGGTTATTCCGAAAGCCTGTTCGCTGCGCTAACATTTGGAGGCTTGTATCTACTGGAGAAAGGATTCACCTTCAGAGCATGCCTTGCGCTCAGTATAGCCACAGCAGCGCGCTCCAACGGACTAGTAAACGTCGGCTTCCTTCTTTACCTTCCTTCTTTGTACGCGCTTTCCCAGATCCGTGTCTATAGAACAACAACAAAGGCGTATGCCAAAGTCTTCCGTTACGTACTCGTCATCCTTCAATTGTTGTTCACGTCATTACTGGGCACTGCTTTTATAACGCTTCCATTTGCAGCTTTCCAGTACTACGGTTATAGGACGTTTTGCACACCGTCTTTGTCTTTGGAGCACATCACACCTGCTTTACTGTCACTCGCCGAAAGAAAAGGCTACAGAGTTCCCGATCAGAATGGCACCCCGCCATTGTGGTGCATGCGGCCGATGCCCATGCTGTACTCTCACATCCAGGACATTTACTGGGACGTGGGCTTTCTCCGCTACTTTGAACTCAGGCAGATGCCCAACTTTATTTTGGCTTTACCTATGGCTTCTCTTGGGATAATGGCAGCGTACGCATATGCTCACGCCAATCCAGAGCTGTGCCTTCGTCTCGGACTTTGGGAGATGAGTGAAAACAAAGGTCTGGACAAACCAACCCCAGGATTTTTCAACCCGCGGGTTTTCGTCTATGTGGTGCACTCCAGTGCGTTGCTGCTGTTTGGAACGCTCTGCATGCATGTGCAGGTGAGAATTAACTACGGCAAGGAGTAGGGCTGGATCAGTTTCAGAGTTTGCTGATATCACACGTGTCTCAATACAGGGTACTTGTAATTTGATACAATTATAAACAATATTTATTGAAGATTTATTGCTAACCTCACCACAGTAATTAAATGTAGACCCTTGAAGACTCTAAATTAGGGTCAAAATTACCCAGGGCTGGTCAAGTTAGAAAAAATCTAATTTCAAAAATGCATGTTTAGCCGGCACCAGCCCCTTTCATTTAACAATTCTTAAGTCCACTGACGCTAAACTAGACTGGTCTCCTCACCAACAGTAATCTCGGACCGCCTGGTGTTTCCTTTGTCTTCATGGTTCTCGTCTGCGCTTTAAACAGAACCTGAACTATCCAAAGAGCATTGCAATTATACGGAGACTTGATTCCACACAGGTGCATTCTATTTCCATCATCAGTCCTTTTAGGACAACCATTGGATCATCAAAGATACCCTCACTGAACTTCTGAGTGAGTTTGCTGCACTGAAAGTAAAGGGGCCGAATAATATGCACCCCCACTTTCATTTTATTTTGTTAAAAAGTTAAATTATCCATAAATTCGTTCCACTTCACGATTGTGTCCACTTGTTGTTGATTCATGAAAAAAATTAAAAATTGTATTTCTTATGTTTGAAGCCTGAAATGTGGCGAAATGTTGAAAGGTTCATGGGCCAATTCTTTTCGCAACTACAGTGGATGTGATATTTGCTAACATTAGGACAACATTAACAACAGTTACAGCAGGGAGAAGTCTGAAATGACCATGTAATACAATATATAAGGATAGTTCAACAGGTTTTGAATTATCATTTTAAAGATTAGCAACTATTGACATCAAACAAAACTGTGAGTGTAACGACACCGGGAGAAAATAATGATCTAGTGATTCATCTTCAATGTTACAAAATGTACAAGATCAACTTCAAATTTAAATCGCCTTTTAAGAAAGTTGCCCACTGGGTAAATGTGATTAAGTATCTTCGAAAATTTTGAGGAGTTACAGATTTTTCATTTCTTTGTATAAAAGAAAGATCATTGTGATTGATCCGGTACTTTTGTAATAAACTTTTCTATGATTTGAAAAAAGGCTATTTTGTCAAGGCCAATGCAAAAATACCATTTTGACCTTTTTTTGTATTGTTTGGAACTATAAAATTAAAACAATAACTTGTTTACTTCAGCCCGGGACCCAGATACTGTAGTGGCTGTAATTAGTGATACATAACGGAGGACATAAATCCCGTGCGAATGCGCCATGTCTGGAAATTTGCCGCAATGACCTCCAGTATTGTCCAAACACAGACGTCCTGTGATAATACTTATCCTGCGAATCTGCATGTCCATGTGATTGTGATTCCTAACACCGCCTTTCTATACTTTCTGCGTTGTTTTTGTCAGTGTGCAGAAGAGTCCAGTATTGGCTGTGGTACTCACTAGCAGAGTCCGGCTGGCTGCTGCCTCTGTGAGGTCTAATGGAGAATGTAAGGACAGTGTAATGTGTTCACTGACTTAAACTGATGAATTGCATTTTCGTACGTTTCACTTCTGCACTCTGTCTAGTACATACAGACGTGTTGCTTGTCGGACTCGCACGTTTGTCTCATGGTCTATAAGAATAACGGGTTGTCAGCAGAGTATGTGGTGCCCTCATGGTAGTCCGTACAAACAGAATTGTTAAACATTACAGACAGCACAGTGTAGATTTTTTAATCCATGACTGTAAGCAGTAAAATCCCACATGTAGCGTTTGGCGTTCATGGTCACGCTGGCCTGCTGTGGTCAGACCCAGGCCCTTTAGAACTGCGTGAAGCGGAGAGAGCCGGTGAGATGTCAGAGAAAATATAGTCAGTTAGGGACATTGCTTATCCTTGTAAGGGACTGCAAGACTCACACCTCCTCCGCATATCACACATTATCAGGGTCCACAGGTAATACTAATCCAGTGCGAATAGGCTAAGAAAAAAAACAAGTTTCACTTCCGGTAACGATTGACGCCGAAAATCTATTAAATACAAAATAAAAAGAATTAATTATGGTTTTCCTAGTTCCCAAATCCGTTATTATTTTGTTAAATGGCCTTATAAGAAATGAAAATAGACCAATTGTCAATTTTCACTTTAAAAATAGAAAATGTTGTGAACGAAAAATAAAAAAAAACAAAAAACGGACCGGCAACATCGTAAAAGAGATCTGGGAAAGATCAGCATAAAAAACATTTGTCTATAACAAGCATTAAAAAGCCCGCCCCCCCCCCCCCCAACGCATTACATTTAGGGTCATTTAAACTACGCCGCGTACTTGTGTCTCTGTCTCCTTATCGAGCGTTAGATGTGCGCGTAAATCTGTGCTGTAGAGTTGAGGATTTCCGTCTACATTGCACGCCCCCTAGCGAGAATGATTATCTATTATTTAATCCGGTGACGAGAGCAGCACGGAGATCAGTCCTGACGCACGGTGCAACGAGCGGCACGGCCCACTCTGGATAGACCGACCATGCGCTTGCACAGAGCAGCAGAGCAACCAGGGGGACACCGAGAGAGCCCCGGCGAGTGAGGGCGCAACCACACAGCGAGTGTTGGGCCGGCGGTGGCTCCACAGTATGGCGACAGAACAGCCACACAACGTTGCTCCATCTCCTCTCGACTAGAGATCTCACATCTAGTGTCTAAAGTTCCTTAACTAGTCATCGCTCTTCCTCACTACACCAGGCAGGCGCGCGATCTGCCAACCGTGTCGCGAAGAGGCAGTCGTCTTCACAACTCTGACCGCTCCCATGGCACATCATGCGCACCGATAGTCTCAACGCTGCCATCGGATAGTGAGTCCAACTATCGTGCGCCAGTACTAGGTAACCACACAACCGCGTTTTCTCAAGGAATTTACGAAAACAGCATCACATCTACAATTCAACACAACCACGCAGCGGCACTGCGCTCAAATCATCCGCTGCGAGCGAGATAAGTGGCCACATCTACATACAAACGCAGAAACGCACATGCTCTCCACAGTGCTCGAACATACAGAACATGAATCTGCAGCAAAGAACACACTGAGAGCGAACACACCAACAACCTGATAAAATCAGTCATTGTATATGCGCAGACTAAACTGAATTGTGGGGAGACCGACAGTTCCGTACAAGCAACGCAATGATGCGCAGTCAGATATCACGTCCTGGTTCCGTCACAGCACCTCGACAACAGACAGGGTACCACGACCTCACTGTCACGCCACGACATACACGGAAATCGGGTTGCTGCCCCATTCTCCTAGCCACCGCTGATCACTCTGGGCACCCACATCGTCAGCCATGGCCCGTCTCTCCTCCCAGAGTCCGGGTCGCGTACATCATATGGCTACATCTACCTTGTCTCACTTGTATCGAGATTCTCTGCATACCTCTATAGGCGCAATACAGACAAGCAGCTGAAGAGCTGTAAAACAGACTACAACTCACACACACTACAACAAGCTGATCCACTCACGGAATTGTATCACTATATCGAGCACTGCACAGGCACACTGGACTTAGCCAGGTACTCGCGTTATACTAGTCCGCAGATGGCACAAGCCTTGGAGTGCGATCTACGGTATAAGACCATCGGCCTATCTCTCAGAGTTCGCTTGTGTGCAGGGCACTCGACGACGCTGACACATTTGCAGCTATCACGTGCACCCCGAGTAGATGAGAACCTGCTCTCGACATGACGACCAGCTATGTGTCTCACTTTGCTCAGTTCTGACACTGGCGTTCTAACCTGACGTGGAGTACAAGGACTAATGCGGTATAAGATCTCCAAGGCCTGCCAGTAGACACTTGGTTTGGGAAGTGGAGCAAGGTTGTTTTAGGGGTAAGAAGCTGCTGATGTTTACAAGTTTTTAGGTGGCTGAAATGTAGGCGGAGTCCAGTAGCACTCTAATTGCGACTCAACAGAGACAAGATACAGCACGCGGGGCTCTATACTACACAGGATGACTCTGGCAAGGAGATAGAAAATACACAGAACAGACTCGCTCACATCTCTGCGTGTATGAAGCATCGGGTCAACAACATAACTCAATGAGGTCAGTCTCTCTCGTTATACGCGTCGTACGTGCATGTCTATACTCTGGAGCGCGCACGTCACCAGAAGATACAGTACCGATCGCTAGCTCCGGAGGGCTCAGAGCGACCACAGCTGCAGCATATCGCGAGACAGCGACAAGTACACAACCCAGATTTAGAGCGCGACGCTTCATATGTCATGGGGCCACCCCGAAGACTACACTGTAGGCAACTGGAGAGCGAGCGTGCACTGCCTAGCATAATAACACACACGACACATATAGCGCTCTCACGCCGGATCGCACACGAGAGTATCTATACGACATGCAGACTAAGCAGGGTCAAGATTGTACCAATCAACACGTCACAAGTAAGAGTCACTCTCGAGACGATCGTAGTAAAACCAAAGACACGCGAGTGAACACCATGAAAGTGATCGGGAGATCAGACTGCAGCGCTGCAGGAAATCTCATAGATCTCAAACTGGCAGACATCGCTTAGATGCATCCGCTCAGCCACACCACTTAGGCAAACGCGATTGCCACAGACTCCCGACTCTACAAGCATACTACAATCTAGCACGACTCTATCATGCGAACAACTACGCGATGTCTCGCTATCGAGAGATGGAGGAAACAAGAGACGGAGACGATTATTTGCTACATATAACATATAATAGTGTTCTAAGGTGATCGAGGGCTACAAGTCTGTTGTCCAAAAGAGCGACTGAGGGTTTCAGCCGGATGGTCTCAAGACAAAGCAAGTACGGCCACTACTTTGCGAGTCACGACTGTTAACAGTGATCCATCAGTGGAAAGACACATAGAAGATACGATTCTACGAATGAGCGACATACTTAACGATGACCGGGATGAAGGTTAAGATGTGACGAGTTAGACTCTACGTTGGGCCCAATACAGAGCAAACAAATTATCGGGCAGAGCGACACCACACTGTGTCGAGACAGAAGAAGGACAGATGCAGACCACCAATGGATTACGATGTAGAATTAAGAGAGCACAAGGGCGCGAGGCGCGCGTAGCTCTTGTTCGTAGACTATTGAAGTCAGAACTGTGACACATGTTTGTATCTAAAGACAAGAGGACTTCGTGTGATATATGGAGTGGAGCCACGGAAAAGAATCTTGATGTGCGAGATTTCGTACCGGGGGAGAGCGCTCACAATCCTTATAAAACATAGAATACATAACGAAAACGATTACTAGACTATGAATGCGTAGGCGATGCGAACGTCTTCAGGACAACACGCAGCTGTTAAAAGAGATGTGAGACACATATGTCTGTAGGAGACATCCAAATAGTAAACAACTAGTAGGCATAGCACAGCACTGTTCCACGTGCACGAGACACAACATTATAAATATGATGTCTCTCAACACGAGATAGAACCTGAGAGGGTATCTGTTGTGAGAGATCTGACACACACTACAGGTTTGGCATATAGTCATTAGGAAACACAAACTAGAATGAAGAAGTGAGAGTCTCTGATGATTCACGTGAGGTCATACCTCAAGACAAGCTCACTTGAAATAGTGTGAGTGAACGACACATATCGACGAATTAATATCTCGGCGAACTCAGCGAGGGGGCGAGCGATAAAGATACTAGGCAGTGACTCAGTATCACTGGCGATTGTATACTATATATTCGGATAACGTGATGTTATCGCGAGGCGACAACAGGATCTAGGTGGGGGGTAGAGATACGTGGGCTGTGTCTGATGGGACGGGAAGGGGGATCCAGAGAGAAGTGGGAGGACACTCTAAACTCAGGACAGGGCGTTTACTATGAGAGATGGTATGAAACAATATCGAAGATAACAGACTCTCTAGACAGAGGGTGAAGAACGTCTCTGTAGAGGATGAAGGCGGTGTGGACTGGATGGACTTAGCGTAGAATTGGGTATATCTATTGGGGAAGGCAGCATGGGCACTGTACGAAAACACACAGAATAGTGGGGAGAATCAGAAGCAGGAGGAACGGACTGTATATTTCGTGATACTCTATTGACAGCGGCGTGTGATATCGCGCATCGGGTAACGATCGTGACGAAACACAAACTGGCGCGGTCTTTAAAAGGAGCGTCTTGGCGGAGCTCTGAGTGCTCGCTGAGCATCAGCGGGCGCAGTGGAAAGTTTGCAGTGCCAGAACGCGGACGTCGCGACGCTCTATCAATATGGGTAGTCAACAAAAGAGAGAGGCAGAGGGACAAAGTAGCAAGCGAGCTGCAGCATAGTTATACATAGGTAGTAAGTGTAGGGCGTATTGTACCAAAAGTACTGGAGATGTGGACCACACAAAGAAGATTTGTGTGAGATGAGGAGACCACAGGGTACATGAACATGAAGCACGGCTGGTTGAGAGTAGGGAGACAACTAAAATGAAGGAACACTGGCTCTTTACGGTACGATGGAGGGGAGATAACGCGTGTAGAAGTTCGGAGCAGGACTCGCGAAGCGGAATCATATTATATGGCACACGAGGATGCGTAGATTAAACTAGGTGGCGTGGCCAAAGGGTTGGGGCTACTCTATATGTAAACTATTGCGCGTAGGGGTCGAGCGAGACAGAGCCACACATGGGGATGGATGGCAGTTGACATACACGGGCAGGGGGTGCAAGCGTCAATGACAGGACGGTTTATGATTCAGACAGGTGCGCGTAGAGTATATGGAGATAGTGTGAGACGCTGTTGTATCACGATACTAGAGACGCGGTGTCTAACGAGTGGACTAAGTCATATGTGAAGTAAGGAGAGGAGAAGGGGGTGGAGGGTACTCAGAGTGCGTGTGAAGAGTGGTAAGGATGATAGATGGAAGTGACGGTTGGGGGGGGTGACACAGAAGGTGTCTGATCTTGGGGAGGAGGAGAGAGCGGTAAGGGCTGTTGGGTATGAGGGTCAGGGGGAGGTGGTGAGCGGGGCTATTAGACGAGCGAAGAGGGGGAGGGAGGACAGATAGTGTAGGGGATAGGGTGCGACGGTTGAGAACAGCGCACAGTACAATGGAGATTAAACACGAGTATGGACGCTATGTTGATAGGACTGATGTGTGTGGTATAGTGATCTACCTTAGGAGGGATCTACAAGTGCGGGAGGCGGGAAGGAGCAATAAGCAGACGCTGAAGATGCAATGGGCGAGGAGGCTGGCGAGGAGAGAGGGCACACTGAAAAGGTGTTTGAGCAGAGCGGTGACAGATCATGAGAGGACTAGCATACGGGAGACTCTTTAGTGCAGAGGGTACGACTGGTGTGAGACAGATGCACACGAAGGTCGGTGACGACGGAGCAACAGAGATGAGTGCGCAACAAGGTATAGGAGTATTCTGCACAACAAGCAGTAGGAGTCGAAGGATCTTGTACTTAGGCTGATGCAAGGACCATTCCAACAAAGAGACATACTATTGGGAATCGGGACCTGGGAGGCGGGTATGGACAAGAGTGGTTACATCAAGTACACTTAGCAGATGTCACGTATGGTGGGGGAGTGTATTAGATGTAGTAGCGGTTGCGAGGGAGTCTATAGTTATTTCTAATAAGGACATGGGGGACTAGGAGGCACGGAGCGCTACGATGAAGTGACAAGACAGACACGTCTATACACGGACGCGTAAGTAATATCACAGAGGATATAGTGGGAAGGATATGTTGTAAATGGGACGAACTGGTGGGCTACAGGGAGCGCAAGACGTGTTGACATTCTTTACAGGTCAGGGAGTAACGTTGTTGTGCGCTCGTGGAGTTCTGCT